AGGAGTTTGCTCCCACAAACAGAAGGGTGGGAAGGGAATTCCATAATCCCATAGATTTTCCAACAGGACACATTTATACCCCCTTTGGCAGCTAATAATGCATTGCTAATTGCCAATAGTGATAAATCTACTATTTATTATAAGAAATAATCATAGTTTCAGGTTGTAATAGGTGATTGTACTGCTGGATCCTAAAAGAGAATATTGTAAATAGAAATTAATAGATTTAATAGATAATTTTTTGATAGTAGATTTAATAGATATTTTTAGACCATAGATTTAATAGATAATTTAATAGATAATTTAATCCCAACAGTAGAACTTATTGATGATTGTATTAATAACTAACACGAATTCTATAGATGCTGCTGCTTACAGGAGATGATAATAAACACTAATACAATAAAGGAATACTACTAATTAATAATAAATATTAATAAAGCTAATAACCAGCCCCTGTCATTATGCTGAGAGGACAGAGGGCAGAGGATGGGTGACACCACAGACCACGGGGTGACCCTGAACCCTTGGGCACCCCTGGGCTGGACTGGTGGGGTTTGATCCATTCCACCAAAGTGTCCCTCCCTGTTTGGCCACAGGTCATAAGAATTAAAGAATTAACCCCTGTGTCCCCCTTTGACCCCTTGATTGTTAATTGATGGAGACACAAACGACCTCAAGGAACTCCTGCGTCCATATCTGACCCCTTGACGAATTAATGGAGACACAAATGACCTCAAGGAACTCCTCCAAATCAATTAAAAAATACTCCAATGACCTCAAGTAACCCCTGTGACCTCAAATAACTCCTATGAGGGATTCAAATGACCTCAAGTAATCGCTGAATCAATTAAAAAATATTCAAATGACCTCAAATAACCCAAAGCACCTCAAGTAACCCTGATCAGGGCCTCAAATGACCTCAAGTAACCTCTGGATCAATTAAAAAATACTCAAATGACCTCAAATAACCCCTGTGACCTCAAGTAACCCCAATGACCTCAAGTGACCCCGATCAGGGCCTCAAATGACCTCAAATGACCCCAAAAAGGGGTTCCAGTGACCCCCAAGTGACCTCTGTGAGCTCAGGCCAACACAATGAAGAATTCCGTGCATAAAATGTCATTCCACTGCTGTTGCTGAGGGAGGTGTAGAAATAATTCGGAAATAATGACAAAATAATAATTATTATTATTCTGAAGTAATAATAAAATCACTTTCTAAGGTGCCAAAGGGAGACCAGTGTAGAATTGCAAACCAGCCCTTCCACGATAAAAGATGTCTTTTACCTGTTAGGATAACCAATGATTTATTATTAATTTAACAAGGAGTTTTGGGGGATCTTTATTTCCTGCAGACAGATCCCACTTTTCCATTTACAAACAGGAAAGAAGCTGCTGGCACCAGAGCTGGCAGCCCCTGAGTCCTGGGTGGGATTTGTGCTCCGGTTCTGCACTCCCAGAGCTCAGCCTGCCCTGAGCCAGCCTTCAACAGGCAGCGGCAACGCCAGGAAGGAGCCAGAAAAATCAAAATATGTGAGGAAAAATCTTGTTTGAGCAGGATTTGGGCTCG